CTCAGAGTCCTCCGGCCTCCATCGATAGACAAAATCGTGTCCAATTGCCAGCGGATTGGCGTCAATTGATCGTGGGCTATCGTGTGGGGAAATCGCTCAGGAAAGTGGCCCGATGGGCAAGGGAGGCCATACTAGATGGAGATCTTCTTCCAGAGCTCTGCGCTGGGTTAGCAAAAGTTCGACAAGAGCAATTGAGTCGCTCGGAAGGGTTTGGAGAGCGACGGACCGGTGGTGCCGCTGGCGTGCTCCTTGGCGTGCTGGCGCTCGCTGATGAAAGCGTTCTCGCCGGCAGAGCTGGCAAGGCGACGCTGGGCGGGAGCGCGCAGCTGGGCGGCGAAGCGCGGCGCGGCGCGGAGGATCTGGCGCTGGGGGAGCATTTTGGTGTCGTTATCTGGCGGTTCGAAGGTTCGAGGAAGTCGTGATGATGCGAAGTTCAACATCAGGTCATGCAAGCTCGGTTATTGAACGTCACTTGTTGCCTTACGATTGAGGCATAACGTACCCCGGCCGGACTCGCTGACTCAACCCATCTTGTGTGTCTCTGATTAGTCAGTCCGGGGCTTCTAGGTCACATGACGTCGTGCGCCTGTTCGCGTCACTGTGGACATGCTCAGTGCTCACTGTCGGTGACATGAACGCGTTGGGTGACCCGCTCGAGGCAAAGGAGCAGCCTTTCCACGGCCTCGTGTGCCAGTCATTCGCTTGAAGGTTGAGAAGGGTCGAACTTTGTTCGGCTTTCAAGTGTCCCGCCAGCGCCGACGACGGGTGTGACTTCCTCGGTCAGCCTCCGATGCCTATCCCCGCCAAAGAGCGACAATCCATGCCCTCGGGCGAGAGAGCAGAGGGAACGTGAGCGTAGGCAGCCAAACCTTTCCATCAGGAAATAGGTCATTGCCCAGTCGCCATGCCGCGAATTACCACTTGGAACGGTGAGTCGTGTCTGAACTGTATTGGTGGCTTCCGCTGACCAGGGTCAGTCAATGGCATCAGGTCCGTAACGCCAAGAACATGCCGCCATTTGCTGGTGCTAAAGAAATCACTGCAGGAACCCTTTTGGGTATCAGCCATGGAGAGAGAAACGGACATTCGAGGTTGGCTGACACATCCGCAAACTATTGCATAGCTTTCCCACCTGACTATCCTTCAGGCCATGTTCGACATACTAGAGGCAGACATTGTCATCTTCCAGGAGACGAAGATTCAGCGCAAAGACCTCAAGGACGACATGGTTCTCATTCCCGGCTGGGACGTTTACTTCAGCCTTCCCAAATACAAAAAAGGCAAGTAACTCACACCCCCAAAGGCTGACAGGATTCATGTCTAACACGCACCAGGTTACTCCGGGGTGGTAATCTACACGCGGAATGCAACGTGCTGTCCCATACGTGCAGAGGAGGGCATCCTCGGCGTTCTTTGTCCTCCAGACTCAACCACCAGATTCCGCGACTTGCCCGAAGAGCAACAGATTGGCGGCTATCCAACTGCTGAGCAGCTTTCCAGCGATATCGATGAAGCCACACTCGATTCAGAAGGCCGATGCGTGATCCTCGAATTTCCTGCATTCGTGCTCATTGGCACGTACAGTCCCGCCAACCGCGATGAATCAAGACAAGAGTTTCGCCTGGGCTATCTCTCTGCACTGGATGCGAGGGTGCGCAACCTTGTTGCCGCGGGTAAGCAGGTTATTTTGACAGGTGATCTGAACGTCAGCCGATCCGAGATTGATACGATTAACCTCTCCGAGCAATTGCGGAAAGAAGACATGACAATGGACGACTGGATGGCCATTCCCTCGCGACGGCTCTTCAATCAACTTCTTTTCGAGGGTCAAGTTCAAGGAGATCGCGATCCTGGGCGCGAGCAGCCTGTCCTTTGGGACATTTGTCGCTGCTTCCATCCAGATCGTAAAGGCATGTTTACGTGTTGGGACACCAAGCGGAACACAAGACCAGCCAATAACGGCGCCCGCATTGATTACTTGTTATGCTCCGCGGGCATCAAAGATTGGTTCATCGACTCCAACATTCAAGAAGGGCTCCATGGTTCGGATCATTGCCCAGTCTATGGTACTTTGGGGGACACGGTGAAGGTTGACGGCCAGGACGTCCATACACTCGACCTTCTTAATCCACGGGGCATGGTCGAGGGTGGAAAACGATTGCGGGAATGGTCGCCCAAAGACTTGCTCCCCATGTCTGCTAAACTGATTCCTGAATTCGACCGTCGTCGCAGCATTCGCGACATGTTCATGAAGAAGCCGGCCGCCAAGGTGCCAGAGAGAAAGACGCTCCTTGAATCCTCAGACACCCTCGGAGAGTCAAAGAGAGAGCCCGACTCTGCTAGTACTCCTAACCACGAGACCTTATCAGCTCGTTCGGACCAAGGTGTGGCATTGGCAGAACCCTCAGGCCCAAACAATACTGAGAGCAAATCCTTACCCCTGCATTCCCCAACAAAGGAAGCGGCTCAGCCTCAAGCATCGAGGCCACCAACAAAGAGGGCAGCACCCACCACTCAGCAGTCGATAAAAGCATCCAAGAAGAGCAAGACTAACGACAGCCAGTCAGCTGCAAAGGGAAATACAGGATCCATGGCGCAGAGCACGCTCATGGGCTTTTTCAAACCCAAGCAGGCAGCCAGAGATGTGACACCAGCGGCTGTTAGCAGTGCCGAGCCTCCATCGCCCTACCAACAAACAGCAGCCTCGAACGACAGTAGTCCCATAAAGTCACCAGCTGTCCGCGTTGCCACCTCGTCTACACCAGATGACCAGACTCAATCGCCAACGAGACCGGGGCCACCGTCCTCGACATCCTTGTCGCTTTCTGCAATGGACAGTGCTGAAACTGTTTTCGATCCAATACAGGTCAAAGAAACATGGTCAAAGCTTCAGCTGGGCAAGAGGGTGGCGCCGAAGTGTGAACACGAGGAGCCATGTATCAGTCTTCTAACAAAGAAGCCTGGCGTGAACTGTGGTATGTATCTCCAGTCAGCATGATTCTGTAAACGTTGGCCCAGGGCCTCCTGTTCTCCTGTCAACTGCGTATTGGCTCCTCAGAACCTGCTTTGAGTCGACCAGTCCCTGTCTGGTGACAGAAGATCGTCTGGCAATCCCTCTGCTCATGAACACCTTGCTGATATTTGCTGTACTGCAGGTCGGTCGTTCTACATATGTGCTCGGCCATTAGGGCCCTCTGGCGAGAAGGAGAAGGGGACGCAGTGGCGTTGTGGGACGTTCATATGGAGCAGTGACTGGAAGAAAGGCAAGATATAGCTCGTTCCGCTCCAAAATCATTTGTCTCTTTACGTGTCAGGCCACAGGCGGCTACAAGGCACGACCACAGGGCAGGCAATTCCATTCATATCACCACATGTGGGCACCAAAGGGGAAAAGCCTACATGGCCTACCTACCCAGATAGACCAATTCATATATCTTACACCGACAGAGCAGCCATATAGCTTCTGCTATGTGTTCCTGGCGTGGTGCGTGCCTGGTCCCCAAGACCCGTCCCTAGCACTAGCCACACTAGAGCCTTAGCCATTTGACTGTGTAGCATTTGGCGTCAATACTTTGGATAATCACCGCCTGCCCGAATAGCTTAATGTATAACTAGGCAGGTACAGCTCAGTATACAAGTAGCAGCGGGTATGTCTGTGAAACATGGGCAGCATATATGCATTTTGAAGTACTCTTCGCTGTGTCCCTTAGTTTTACGAGCGATACATATTTTCTGCCACTGGGCCATCGACTATTCAAAGTACTGAGGCCAAACCTGGGCACAAAAGGGACCCATCCCCCGGAGCGGCATGTAGTTGACGAAACAGTAAAGCGGCAGGCTGGTTCAATGACTGCGCCAAGGGTCGTTGGCGTAATTCCCTTTGACCTTTTCCTACAATCGAGTGCAATGTTGGGGTTCTGCAACCCATGACAGAAGACGAGAAGAAATTGCGACACCTTTAGCTTCACTGCTTGTTTCAAGGCTGCCCGGACTTTATGGAGCAATCGAGCGATCATCTTGGTATTGCAACCAACAGCGACGGGCGTCAACTCCCCGCTCTTGAGTAGATCATTGCTCAGCACAAAGGCACAGAGAGGCTCTGTTGATCTGAGGAGGGAGATCCTACTGCCGTTTGTAAAAGAATGAAGGGTGATGCTTCCTCATCCAAGGTAGGAAGGGGATCGTGCTTTTAAATGCAGGCACGGCGGTGGCCTCGCCAGGAAGATACTCGACTTTGGATTTAATCTGGTAGGTGTGGGGGTAATTACCCTGAACATGAACGTCTCCCTCCTGTCACGCTGCATCTTATTGCCCCCGCCTCGGAGATGGGCCCTAAAATGTTCTCACTTGTTCGACGCGTAACACTGGCAGATGGTGATTTTTGGCGTGATGTTTTGGATCACGATAGTGGCTTTGAACTAACATCTGCCGCTGACCTGGTCTTGGGCCTTCACCGGCCTAGGAGCCCCCAGCCGTCTCATCTGTAGCCACGGCAAACTACCAACGACAGAGTCAAAAGTTAACCATCATTGCAGGTATCATAACTGATGCGAGGGTTGGCGTTCAAAAGGAGTATGGCTCTTCGAGTCAAGGAATCATGAAAGAACAAATTGCAACGTAAATATGGGCACGGCCACGGCCGTGCCAGAACGGTACCGTAAAGACAAGTCCGATCTGGTAGGACCATGGACGCGCGGTTGACAAGCTACCTGGGGCATGAACGGATTTTACCTTAACATGAGCGCCTTCCAAACGTCACTTTCAGCCTTCCTACAAGATGACCTGCGGGTGGTCCCTGATGGGTGGAGGGTCGAATTTCAGATGTTCTTCTATGCTATGCCTGGTGATCAACTACGGCACTAACCTACGGAGAATCCCTTTAGTTTGCTAACAACCTTACTGCGACAGCAGATTTTGGGTTGCAAAGGCACAAAAGCAACTGTAATCCAAGCCTGTGCAAGATCTCCTCCAGATTCACAGCTGGCAGTGCTGCCACTTGTTCAAACGTTATTATCCATGCCTTCCATGCCATTAGTAGCCTCAGTAGGCACACGTCGGTTGCGACGGCGGCGCTCTCCAGGTCGACGAGGAGCGTAGCGGTAATCGGGGTGTGCTCGAAGAAGGTTCTGCTTGAGCTCTTCGGCCATTGTCTGGTAACGAGTTCGGACATCGGCCTTCTCTTGCTTCCAAGCCTGACCAAGGACCTTCGCTAAAAAGAATTAGCATGGTCAGAGGACTGATATTTAAGAACACTAACAAATTTGATTATTGGTGTATGCGGGGTTCGCAGCTTTGATGAGCTTATGGTGATCTTTGCGATAGAGGATGTACGAATTGGGCGGCCGCGAGATCTTGACCTTGACTGTGCGCCTGCTCTGATCTGATGTCACACTCTGAGCTTGTCGAGCAACAGGTTTGTGAACCAATACGGCACGTCCGTCGATGCTGACGAGCATGCGGTTTCCAGCGATGAAGGTTTCAAGAGGGCCAATATAGTAGCGGTCGATGCCGTTATTCATACCATCTTGTACCCAAATGACATCTTTTTGCAGCTGATGACTACGGGACGAGCATTAGTACTTTTTCGACACACAAAGGAAGACAGGCGAACCTCAAGTGTTCTGCGAGATAATCACGACCATGGGCCTGCAGAGCATGAAACTCCGCGGCTTCGACGACGATTACAAACTGGAAAGGATTGACTTGGAGCCTTAGGATCTTCGTGATGAGCTCTTGAAGCTGAGTATCGATGTCGACATTCGCGGTACCGAGCATCTGACATTGCAACTGCATAGACATCTTGCTGAAAGTTCTTGTCTTTGTCGAGTGATGTTAAGACCGTTGTCGGCGAGCCTCTTGGCAGCAGTACGATATGTTGATCTTTTGACGAGAAGTGGAAAGTGACGATGTGATGAGAAGGACGTTCGGAAGATGCTTGTTCTGGTGAACTGGGTTGGCAAGCTTTCTGTGGAGGAAGGTCAGTGGAATGGAAGAGGCGAAGTGAAGGAGGATTATGGTAGGAATAAATTGAGTTGACGCTTTTGGATTGGCAAGAGCCAGACTATGGCGGTGGAAAGCTGGCTCGATTTTGGGGGAAGGAGCGGGCAAGGGTAGTAGCAGTCAATGGGCGGGGCGAGTTTAGCAAATGCCACCCTGCGCCGAGAATAAGTAAGAAAGCAAACATACCTGGTAGGTAAGGTAAGGTATGGTACCTAGGCAGATAGGTAGGTAGGTAGGTAGTTTATTGAGCGCTCACAGTACTTGGCCTTCGGGCAACTGTGGCAGTTGGCTACACGTTTGGGGGTGGTGTTATGGATGCGCCAGCACCAGAACCGGCTAGTACCTGGTCATCAATCCTTCTCTATAGAGGTGAGCCAGAAGTTCGTACCATGCGTAGCCGCATTCCAGGACGATTTCCTACCTCATATCCAACTCACTAAGCAGTATTCTCGAGGTTTTGTTTAAAGCTCGTGTGTGATGACCTAGGGTCGCCAAAGTCTGCATCTCAATCCCACCGAGTCTGCTTAATCTGATGTATCCATGATCCGCGCAAATTCTTGAACGCCTGAACCTGAGACTTCCAGTTTTACTGTTCAAGAGCGTTACAAACCAAGTATTTATGACTCTCTTCAGTAGGTACTTTACACACATTCATTCAAGCCTCAACGAGAATACCTCGAGCTGGCGACTGCCCCATGTTCTGCGCTTGCAGAGCGACACAACCCCACACTGCACAGTGTGAGACCTCGCTACCTCGCCGCCTCGCTGCCCCCGAAGGTAAGTGCCTAACTATCTACCTTATCTACCGTACCTACCTCAAGGTACTTACAGCTCTCGCGGAAACGGGAAAGCGCGCCAACCCAACACCAATACTTGGGTTCCTTCTGGTTCAAAGGATTGTCTCTTCTTTTTCCTTGACCTTCATGTTTGTTTCCCACCATCGGCTCTTCAAGTGGCAAGGCTTTCACTACCGTATGTTTATCAAGAGAACCAACGAACGTACTGGCGTCGAACACTGTCAGCTGGAGCATGTTCCAACACACTCTTCTTTACAGTTCAGTTATACAAATTCATTCCACGACGGCGAGGACTTAGTATGAGTTCAATCAACGACGAAGGTGCTGGTGTCGAGCACACTCTGGAGGACGTTCTCCGAGTCATCCCGAAGAGTGTCATTGACTCTCTCTCTCCAGCGTCAGGTTGCCAGTGGACTCTGAGCAAGGAAGGCCCGAACAAATACCGCATCTCCTTCAGGGCTTGGCAAGTCAACAGCTGGGTCGAGGTAGCTTCTCACGATGTGTCCACAGTGATCTCAATCGCTGAGATTTACGACAAGTTTCCTGTCCATCGAGCCCGTACCTGTAAGTATTCTCATCACTTCAGTTACCATTCAAGCTAAGTCATTTATTTTCAGTGGATGCAGCCCAGATGCAACAAACTCTACCACACATGCAGCATTTGGCCTACCAACAGGCCGCTCCTGCTCAAGACACCTATGACCAGCCCAACGATGTCGATCAGAACGAAGAGTCAAGCGATATCGCGGCCAGTTCTAGTGATTGTGCAACTCAAATCTCGCACTCCGATGAGGGACAAGTATTCGCGCCATCAAGGCCCAATACCCGACAGTACCATGGAATTGATTGTCAGGTATTACAAAGTTCTGGCCAACCAGCATATTCCCCAAGCAATGCTTTGAACACGATAACCAACGTTCGCGATGAGAACAACTTTCTGTTCCACTCTCAAGCTGCCATCGCGGCCAACCATATGCTGGATTCTCCAACTCAAAACCACGCCAGCGAGTCATTCCCACAGAATATGGACAGCAATGATGGAGGCCATCTTCACCGAGGCTTTGATCCCTCTCCAAACATGGCCCTCGAAAACAATCTCGAGGAGACAATATTTCCCGTGGGCACCTGGAACGAAAGTATGAACCCCTCCTTGACCGACCAAAGTGAGGTTATTCTTGGCTCTGGCCAGGCACCCAACGTCGCCTTCGGCCACGAGACTGCTTTTCAAGACTTAGGTTTCATGCAAGATTACATGATTGAGGAGAACCTTTTAAGTCCACACCAAGGCCAGCCAAATCAATTCAGCAATCACATCCTGTCCAACTCGAGCCAAGCCAACACAGGAATTCCATCACTGTTGGAAGACAACACTTTCTTCTTCATCAACAATCATGGATTGGCGATGTCTGTTGAGGATCACAGCTTGCTTCAAGGAACAACTGTGTCCAATGCCATGGAATACACTGCGGGCGTTTCCTCACAACAAGAAATCCAGGAGCAGTCCAGAAAAGAGCGGTAAGCTGGTGAAGTGAGTTACGGGATCGGCCGTCGTTGAAGTCAATGCTAATTCCTCTAGGTATAACCAGCCAGCTTAAAGCTGAGGCATCGATGACGATCAGAAAACCCGTCGGAAAACCCCGAATTCGGGTTTCCTGTTGCAAAAGCAAAATGACACTGGCTGCGGAGTTAACAAGACAACTTGCACCCCTCTGTCACCTTGCTCGGAGCGGAGTTCAGTTGATACGAGGGGAGAGAGCATGGCATAAGGCAGCGAGCGGCTTGGATTAGCGCAGGATCACGGTCAAGTCCCATACGAAGATCATAGTTTTGTTTGACGCAGAAAGGACTTTCTCAGGACTGACGTCAACATGCTGACAGGCTGGATTGGCCACTGGCCATGGTCTAGGATATGCCAACAGCATACTGTGCTATTGAAGAGATACAGATGAGCAATGACAAGTTTGATCACAGACGCCCTCGGATGTGAGATGGTAGCTCAGCTGAAACGCTCAACCCTTTCCACCTCCATGATGACATAAATGGGCAGTGAGAAGCCCCCGTAGCAGGGAACTAGATGTCGAGATTAACATACTGAGCCAAGACGTGCTAATGCAGCACTAGTTCAGCCTCACCAGGCGTCCAACGTGACATGAGCGAAAGGGCCCACCGAGGAGACCGATCTCATCGAGCCTGCTCAACCCAGATGGGGTAGGTGGAACAAGTGAGTGGGGTGATACAGACAAGCGGGAGCAAGGTAGATCGATCTAACTGGAGCCAGCCTTGAGTGGAAGCGGGCTGTCCGCAACGGCGGCGACTTTGCCTGGTTGCAGTACGACACGATTAAGGATTCCCGCAGGGCGCCTTCATTTCCCTGACCTGCAGTACCTGCCCACCTACGCCGAGCAACGGGACAGACTTGGAAGCAGGGTGAAAAATGCAAACACTCGGTTACATGTCTGTCCTAGCCTCGTCGGCAAAGCAGGGGTGGATCTTCCCGAGGGGGGTGGCATTGGATTGGCACGAGGGCTGACTTGGGGGGTGGTGGTAAGGAAACAATCGATTTTGGAACGAAACGGGCTGGATCGACTCCTCCACTGAAGTAGGCGAACGCCAACGCACCTGCAAGACGGGCTACATCAGACGGCGGGAGGCCATCGATGGCGCACGGTTCTCCCCACTTAATAAGAGTGAACATGTCTGGCTAGGCCTAGGCCATCTGGATGATCACGGGGATGTTGGCAGGGGGGCATGGCTCATCTTGGAAGCCCACTCGTGCCTGAACAGGCCGATTAGGGACAGACAAGCATCAGACTTGAGGAAGGGTAGGACAGCAAAGATCCCCGACGACCATGGGCGTGCACTTGCAATCCCTATTCGTACGACATGCAGCCATATGTTTGGCCTCTCTTCTCCTCGAAGGAACCTGCTGTGCAGGAAAAGAGACTACATGCTACCGCACAGATGGACAGTATATGGAGGAGTGGGGAAGCCATGGGGCCTTGGCAGGTCGAGCATGCTTGCGTGGCCCCTCTCCATTGCACTAGCGCAGCAACAGATCCGACATGACCACATCACCAACCATCACGAGGTCCAGCGAGCGTGGCAAGCGTGGGCAAGGTAAAAGGCAAAGAGGACATGCAGCCACATCGCCAGGCCTTGCCCGCGCGGCTGCAGCATGCCTTTCCACCCGATTGCCTGTACAAGCACCCCGTCCAGCCCTCCTGCCCGTCCGACTCGCGCACTAAGATCAGTCTGGCGTAGTGCCTAAGGATCAGCGGTCGATGAAACCAGCGAATGGAGTTGAACATCATCGGCTCCCTTTTGTGTAACATGTCAGGGTTCAAGCTGTAAAATCTGGTTGGCTCGGGCGCCTGGCAAGGGTCTGGGAGGATCTGGCAGCAACGCCACGAGGGTCGCCAAGGCGCCGTGGGCAGCCCTTTCCCACTTCCGACCAAGGCGATTGGGGTTGCCCCTGCCCTTGCAAGACGAGGCAGCCAGAAGGAGGTGTCACAGATCATGACTGGGAGTTCCGACGACAAGCCTCCTCTCTCCAACATCCATCGTTCTCCAACAACATCACCACTACTTGCCAACCACGCTAGCAGTGGCACTTCACCACTCCTCTCCATGCGCCTTTCTCCAAAGAAGTAGGGTACGAGGCCGACATAACGCTATGCCCGCTACTGGACGATGCGAACTGACGTATCATGGCGCGACCCCTGCCTGTGACCCTGTTCGAGGTACCTACTGCCGATACGCCCCGTGCGTGGTCGCCGAACCCAAGAGTTGGACCCAATGGCTCTTTTTCTATCACGTCCCATTTCTTTTTGTCCTCTAAAGATTGGCGGCAGGAATTGGCATTCGGGTACTGCGGCGCCCGAAACCACTGACTTTCTTCAGCGGGGCCTATTACTCAAGATGCTGTCCGGTTCAATTGCTCCTCTATTTCCACCGTCATGCCGAAACTGAACCCCAATTCGTGAGCCACGACAAATGATCTCC